GCTGGAGATCCTTGGAGGGGAGGGTCCTGGAGATCCTTAGGAGGGGGCTGAGATCCTCGGGGGCTAGAGATCTTTAGGGGGCCTGGAGATCTTTGGGGGGGGTGGAGGGAAACACCTGGGTCCCTTCTCAGGGGGAAGGAGGAGGTTGATCATGGGGGGAACACACACCTGGGTCTCTTCCCGGGGGGGACACAACACACACCTGGGTCCCTTCCCGGAAGGGGGGGGAGCCTGGTCACCTGGGTGTCCCCCCCCACCTCCCCCTGTCCTTGGGGCGCGGGTATATCTGCGTGTCCCCGGGAGGCAGCCGGAGGGGGTGGTCGTCGGGCAACCATGGAGGTGGTTCTGGTGGCCCTGCTGGTGGCGGTGGCGGCGCTGGGGGGGGCGGAGGCTCAATGCCCCACCCCCTCCAGCCTCAAGACGATCAACGGCACCCGAATCTGCGCCCAGCTCTACACCGACAACAGCCCCTACTACGACCAGTGCTGTGGGGGGGAGGTCCTGGTGGTGGAACCCGGGGAGGACGTCCCCTACATGCCGCGGGGCTGGGCCGCCAGCGTCTCCTCCCTGGTGGTCGGCACCCGCTGCGAGTTGACTGTCTGGTCGCGGGCCGGCAAGAAGGGGAAGAGTCGGAAGTTCTCGTCCGGGGCGGTGCCGCGGCTGCAGGAGGTGCGTCGGGGGCTCTTCGGCGACTGGAACGACGCCATCCGGGGTTACTACTGCAAGTGTAACTGAGGTGGGGGGCCAGTGGGGGGCTACGGGGTGGCGAGACGGGTCAACGGGAGTCGGCACGAGTCAACGCGAGTCACCGCGGGCCAAGAAAAGTCAACATAGGCCAAGAAAAGTCAACGTGAGTCAACACAAGTCAACATGAGTCAACGTGGGCCAGCAGAAGTCAACACAGGCCAAGCCAACGTGGGCCAAGACAAGCCAATATGGGCCAAGACAAGCCAAGACAAGTCAACGTGAGTCAACACAAGTCAACGTGGGCCAACTTGGGCCAACGTGAGCCAACACAAGTGAATCTTGGCCAAGAAGACGAGCCAACGAGGGCCAAGACAAGCCACCGTGAGTCCACGCGGGTCAAGGTGCCACTCCCTTTTTGCCCCCCCCCTCCAACCTGGCAGCCAATAAAGCCTGGAGGCCGCAGCAGGTCCTGCCCCATGGGTACTTTATTGGGGGCAGGGGGGAGGAAGTGGGCCCCCCCCAGGGAATCTTTGGGCAGGTCCCCACCACTGTCACCCCCTCCTCCTCCATGAGGGTCCTGCGAGAGGGGGTTTCCCCACAGGCTCAGTCCCCCCCACCCCTCCCCTCAAAGAAAGGACATGGGACACGGGGATCTCCAAAAGGACACGTGTAATCTCCAGGGGAGGGGCCCCACGCCAGCCCTGGGGGCCCCCCCCATTTCTGCGGCATTACAAAATGACAATATAAATAGCTTTGTTAAAAAACAAAACGGGGGGGTGAGGGAAGAGGG